TCTGGCGGCGGTGGCGGAGGCGGCGAAGCTGGAGGATGGCGCTCTTTCGGCGTCTGTTCTACAGGAAGCCGCCGGATCGGTTGCTGGAGATCTCGGAGAGAGTTTATGGTATCTATTCGATTTGCTTCTCAATTTTATGTTTTTACTGTTAGATCTTGGGAAATGGTGGACTTTTGAGAAGCAAAAGCTGGATCGTTCTTGATTTTTCTGTTTTGATGAGATTGGTTTGATTTCGAAGCTTAAATTGCTGTAATTGAGGTTTTTGGAGTTGATTTTTTGGTAGATTGTGGGTTCTTGATTTATTTGTGAAGCTAAAGCTGAAAACTTTACTGCTTTTAGGAAAAAAGGAGTTTTTTATTTAATAATTATACATTGCTTTCTAAATATGTTTTCTTGCAGTGTTCGATTGCTGCTTCTCAACAGACACATTGAGAGAAGATGAGTACAAGGATTATATGGGCGGCATTGTTGCCCAGCTACAGGATTACTTCCCTGAAGCCTCATTTATGGTGTTTAACTTTCGAGAAGGAGAACGCCGAAGCAAAATCTCTGACATTTTGACTGAATACGATATGACAGTCATGGACTATCCTCGACAGTATGAAGGCTGCCCTCTGCTTCCGTTGGAGATGGTCCACCATTTCTTGAGATCAAGTGAGAGCTGGCTATCTTTAGAAGGGCAGCACAATGTGCTTCTTATGCATTGTGAAAGAGGAGGATGGCCTGTCCTGGCTTTTATGCTTGCGGGTCTTCTTCTCTATAGGAAGCAGTACACTGGGGAGCAGAGGACTCTGGAGATGGTCTATAAGCAAGCTCCAAAGGAGCTCTTGCATTTGTTGTCTCCATTGAATCCACAGCCTTCGCATATGAGATATCTTCAGTATATAACCAGACGAGGCACTGCAACGGATTGGCCTCCAGGAGATAAGCCGTTCAAATTGGAGTGCTTGATTCTTAGAATTGTGCCAAATTTTGATGGGGAAGGGGGATGCAGGCCAATAGTTCGTGTCTATGGTCAAGACCCTTCAACCCCTGCTAACAGAAGCTCAAAGATCCTTTTCTCCACGCCGAAGATGAAGAAGCACGTGAAGCGCTATAGACAGGTAATGCTAAGCTCTTTTAGCTTTTTCATGAGTTTGATAGTAATAGTAGTAACTCTGGATTAATCACAGGAAGACAGTGCACTTGTGAAATTACATGCCCGTTGCCAAGTTCAAGGGGATATTGTCATTGAGTGCATCCATATGAATGATAATCTTGAACGGGAGGAGATGATGTTCAGGGTCATGTTCAATACTGCATTTGTGTATGGGATGCCAAGGATCAATTCTCAAAAGACTTCAAAGCAGAGGTAGGTGACTGTTGTTTTGACTGGCAGTGTTTGTTCCTCATATAATGGTAGTAGTTGAAAGCAACTTCATCCTGAATCAGGTACTCTTTTCAGACCATAATGCTACTGAATCTGATACCATCATGGGTACAGTAACTGGAGATGAGGACGAGGCTGAAGTTGCTTCAATGACAGAGGAGTTCTTTGAGGCAGAAGAGATCTTTAGTAATGCAGACTCACAGGAATTGAAGCGGGATATGGACATCCAATCACCTGCCAAAGCTGCACCAGATGTTGAGAAAACCAAGACAGAAATTGACAACTTTTTTACTAATGAACAAAAGGAAGTGTTAGAAACAACAAATTCTGAACTGGATTGGGAAATTGTCACTACTAACATGGGAGATGCACGTATCAGATCACAAAGTGCAGATGCACCAAATCAAGCTGATAATGAATCGGAAATTAGCAATGCAGCTGCAACTGAGAAACTAATCACTTTGGATGAAGTGATTGCAGTTGAAGAGAAGAGTATATTACGGATGAACAGCATCAAGCAAAATGATGGAGGTGGTTCTTCTTGGCTACCTGAAGAGAAGATCACATCAGGAACTTGGAAAAATAAGCAGGAGATAGAGGGCATTATTTCTGAAACTGAAGTTCTGTTGAATGATACAGGACATGATGTGAAACTCCCAACTCCAGCCAGTAAAAATGGAATTACATCTGGAAACAGTGAGCCTAACTATAGTGCAGGCATTAACAGTAATAAAAGCGACGTAGTATGTGACAATATTGAAAAGGAGGTTGAATCTTTTGGTGACAATGGATTAGAAGCCTGCATATTGCCAGATCAAGTAGCTAGTAGTGTACATTTCGATGATGCTGTTTATGATAAAGAAATTGTTACTGAAAATGCATTCACTTCAGGTGACAATATTACATCTGAAGCAAAAGATATAGTAGAAATCAGCAATTTAAAACTGGAAGTCGAGAAAATAGTTAATGTAGAGGTTGAAATGAAGGATACAGTGGAAGCCAATAATTCTACTTGGAGTACAAAGCACATATTCATCCCGAAGACTGTTACACAGGATGAAACGGGCAGCAAACTGACTTTAAGTCCTGCTGATGAAGCGAAGAGCAGATTAGAAAGAACTGCTTCCAAACAATATTCTGATAACAGTGAGACCATGAAGAAATCTAATCTGGACGACAACAGTCATAATAGTATGAAAGATGAGATGAGTTGCAGGATGCAAACTCCCCCTTCTAACCAAGAAACAGATAAAGGGACCTCTAGGAACAAGGTAGAAATTAAATCTCCCAGTCAAAAGTCAGGAGATGAAAGCCGCAAACAGTCCAAAGAGAAGCCTTTGGCAGCAATTTCCATGAAGCCTCCGACAGGCATAATACCACAGTCTGATTCCTCAAAGCATACGATTAAGCAACAGGAATCTCTTAGCGAGCAGGCAAAGACACTAAAGCCAAAGACGGTACCTCGGTGGATCCCTCAAAAGAAAGGTTCTAACGCTACTACTGTATACAGGCCATTGCATCCTCCATCAAGATATAACAGTTCTCCAGCTGCTCTAGGCATCTCTGCAATTTCTCAAGATAATGAAGCAGATGAAGGTGCAGACTGTCCATTTCCTCATGCACTGATTGATAAAACAATTACTTCTGCAGAATTACAGGTGCAAGGATTGCCAGATACTCCTCGTCTTCCACCGTTATCACCACCTCCTCCTCCTCCATCTTCTGGGATTTCATCTAATTCTTCTTTTCTTCAGTCCCAAACAAATGCACACTTAGAAACCAGATCAGTACTCCACGCTCCAACCCCTACCCCGCCGCCTCCACCACCACAGCCCCCAACCTCTTCCACAC